GCAGTTGCTTTTCCGGTCTTTCTTCCTCGTCGTAAAAAACACCTCCGCAAACGTTTTCTTTGTAGCTTGCGCTTCAACATTTGCAATATAAGCATTTGTTCTTCAATATTGATGAGCTCCAACAACACATACAGCTGCTCCACCTCGGTCGCCATTGTTTACGGTTGTTTACTTTACGGAAGAAAAAGCGAGGATTCGGCTATAACCAGTCTCCCCCTGGTGCAGGACTCTGACCTCTGACCAGCTGATCTCCGGACCAGGTGACCTCTGATCGTCTTCAGGACTAAATCACCAGCTCATCAACTGATCAGTCTCAGGATGACCAGTGCTTCAATAAGAAACATTCAGTCTGGTGATTTCTATTCAATAACTGATCAGTTGAGTTACCATGACAACCACAGAAAGTGTATGATGTTTTCATTCTGTAATAAATGATTTCACTCACACGTCTGACGATGTCACTGATCAATTGACTCTGAAGCTGAACTGCTGCCACCTGCTGGACAGATTAATACAACAACTAAACAATGGAGACAGGTGACGTGACAGAGGCTCATTCCTTCATTCACTTTTATTTGTTCACATCATCATGACAGAGTTTGAAAATGTTTTATTATTAAATGTTTGGTTTCAGACATTGAAACAAAGATCAGAACTGGAGTCTTTAAACATTTGGTCGTCACATGATGACAGTAGAGTACTGCAATATGAATACAGAGTTGTACTGCAGTATATATAGTGTAGTACTGTAGTACTGATATGGTGTAGTAATGTAGTATAAATACAGTGTAGTGCTGTAGTATTACTATGGTGTATAGTACTGTAGTTATTAGTAGTTATTCAGGTGTTGCAGTGGAACGCGTGGCCATCTGATGACATCATAGTCTTTTTTTCTTTATTAAAACACTTGAGAACTAAAGTGACACAGAGAGTTCCAACACAGACAGTGAACAGTGAACTCAACATATGCATATCCAGCCTGTTCCTGAAGGTGGCATCACATCAGACCACAAATTAAGATCTGGTGAAACAATGACTCTTTCTGTATATACAAACATTAATAACATTAACACCCCCCCTTCGACATGTACTCGTCCAGCTACGTCCAGCTGTCTCTTGGTTGGTAAGTTGTCTCTGCTGAGGCTGCACCCCCTAGTTGTGGAGGCCACGCCCCTCTGCAATTTTTGAAATTTGAAAAAAGATCTCAGAACTGCTGTTACCATGGAAACATGGACTCTCAGAGCTGATGGTGGTGAGGATGATGATGATGATAGTGAGGATGATGGTTATGATGATGATG